ATTACGGTTCAATCAATTATATGACTTATATTATTTGTAACATTCTAGAAAGGGTTTAAATTAAATGACAACTTGTATCAGTATATAAAAAGAATAACTTGTATCTCTCTATATTTACTCATTACTTTATTTTAGACTAAAATGTAGAGTAATTAAAGTAAAAAGATACTTAAACTAAATTTAATTATATTTACAGTTATTTGATTTTAAATTTAATTATATTTTTGTTGATCAAAAGGAGCAAAGAATATGCCCATCTGACAACAAATTAGAAGATCTCATTAATTTAACTTTGAATAATTACATGGGGTGGAGGCGTGGAGCGTACCAACTCACCGTGAACTAATGTGTTTTTTTCTTCTCTCCACCACTTATAAAATAGATCTATTTGCAGCATAAAAAGAAGGCATGTCTTGTGAACTTCGAAAAACAACTTTTGTCACCTAATGCCATTATAATTCATCAGTTTCATCGTCCTTTCTTTTTTACCTTTACCATTACTTTTATTTTTGAACAATAAAAAGTTCTCTCGATCTTGTCACCCTTACAATATTACACAACTTCCATCTTATAAACTTCACCATCTTGACTCTTGAGTCTTGACTTCACTTCTTCAAAAGAAAACAAAGATATGACCATGCAAACACTCTGCTTCATCACTCTCTTCATAGCTATCTCCATCTCTCAAACCACTTCAACTTGTGCTTACAGATTAAAATTCGACAACTTCGGTATTAATGGCTCCAATCTCTTCACGTTCCATGGAGATGCAGAGTATGGTCCCGACAACAGTCGCATGAGCCGGTCGGGTGCCCTCGCTTTGACCCAATACACCATTCCTTTCGCTCATGGTCGAGCTATTTTCATCAACCCAATCACCTTCAAGCCTCCCAACAACGCTTCTTCTGTTTACCCTTTTAAGACCTCTTTCACCTTCTCCATCACTCCTCACAAAACAAACCCTACTTCTGGTCATGGTCTCGCCTTCCTCGTCGTCCCTAATAACAAAAACGATGTCGTTTTCGGATTAGGTTACCTCAGTCTCGTGAACCGAACCAGCAACGGTAATCCAAGTAACCATCTATTTGCTGTTGAGTTCGATGTTTTTCAGGACAAGTCTCTTCACGACATCAACGATAACCATGTCGGAATCGACATCAATTCGGTAGACTCGGTGGTTTCGGTTAAATCCGGTTATTGGGTTATGACAAGAAACTGTTGGTTATTCAAGGATTTGAAGCTGAACAGTGGAGATAAATACACGGCTTGGATCGAGTACAACGACAATTATAAACTCATCTCGGTTACCATTGGGCTCGCGCATTTGAAGAAACCGAACCGGCCTTTGGTTGAGGCAAAATTCGATCTCTCCAGTGTGCTGCTCGAGAAGATGTACGCCGGTTTTGCCGGTTCAATGGGCCGTGGTGTTGAGGACCACGAGATCTGGGACCGGACTTTCCAGAATTAGTGGTGTTGAGGACCACGAGATCTGGGACTGGACTTTCCAGAATTAGAAAACTGTGTTTATTCATTTTAAGAGTTTTACTTCGGTTTTGGAGTAACATTATTGGAAGTCCTTGCGTTAGGGTCCAAACAGAAAGTTCCTTAATTAAGAAATTTTTAATTTGGGTTTCCGTAAAGTCTATATATATATATATATGTGTGTGTATTAAGGACCCCAATAATCTTATTCTTAGATATGTTTGCTACTGTTCTGTCAGCTTCTGTCAGTGTGGCTCTCGCTAATAATTGAATCGCTAATAATTGAAGTGAATAAATGCTAGAGTTATGGGTTTTCAGATTTCACGAAAGATTACGACACTATCCCTAATACTAAAGAATGTTAAAAAAGAACCTACAGTATTACCAAAGACTTAAAATACAAAAAAAAAAAAAATCTTGTTTTTTTGATTAAAAAATTAATTCTTGTACCAAAAAACAATTAATTCTTGTTGTACTGATGTTAATGTTCGATCATGTCTTATACAACCCACATCGGTAGAACTTAACAGAAGGAACCCAGTAAGAAACTATCATCAGTATTATAAATAAGTTAGTTTTGTGACACACTTGAGATAAGCCTATATGCACTTTCCAAGGGATGCTTTGCAGTTTGATATGCTACTCCACTAAATACTAGTAGTGTAGAATTCAGAAAAAAAGTTGCCGGTGTACAAGTATTTCTTGTTACTTGCTATTAGGGGTGGGTACGAAGAAAATATCCGGGTATTCGGAGATATTCGTGATCCGATCCATTTTGTTCGAATAATCAATTATCCGATTCGATTCGATCCGTAGTCCTTTGGATATTCGCCATCCCGGATATCCGAAATTTTTTAGAATTTTACCGGATATCTGATTCGATCCGTAATAATAAAATAAAATTTTGAAAATAAATAAAAATTCCAAATAATATAAAATAAGAATATTTTATTACAAAAATAAACTTTAATTAATTTTAAAAATTCTAATAACTAATATAATAAATTTAATAAAAAAAATCTAGTAAAACATAAATAAAATATAATATTTATATAACTTCTCTATATACTTCTTTAAACATATGTATATAACGGATATGATCGGATATTCGTTCCTAAAAATAATAGTATTTGTTATTTGCTTCGTCTCTTACGGATATCACATTTTAGTATTTGATTTGCTTCGTAGAGTTACGGATATCTGGATTTTTCGGTTTGAAACGAAACGGATAACGAATCGAATCAAAATTGACGGATATTTTGCTCAGCCCTACTTGCTATATTACGGACCTTCTCACAATGATCCGGCATAATTTATAATTAGGTCTTCCGATTGAACATGTTAACAAATTACGTAAATACATTAATAACACTGACAAAGAAACATTATTAATAGCAACAACATAAACAAAATTGACATTCAAATAAAGATCAATCTCTGAATAAAGAAAATAATAGTTTTAAAGGAAAAACAGAATAAAAATAGTGAGTCCATTCTGGTGTCCACTTGGCATTATCCAACTTGATCATTTGATGTTTGAAAAGTCATAGTTGCTGGCAGCTCTTGTCACTCTATATAATACTATAAACCCACACGTCCAGAAAACAAAACAAACACATCAGAAAAAACACATAATGCAGACCCAAAACATCTGTCTCGTTGCTTTATTCATAGCTTTGTTCAGCTCTGAAACCATTTCCGCAATCAAATTCAACTTTAACAATTTTGACGGAACAAATCTAATCTTCATTGGTTACGCTGAGCTAGGACCAGTAACCGATGGCATGAGTCGGTCAGGAGCTCTCTCCATGACCCGTGACAACATTCCCTTCTAACATGGCCATGGCCAAGTGCCATTCAAAACCTCCAACAACACTTCTTCTTCTGTTTACTCTTTCAAAACATCATTCACTTTCTCCATCAGTCCTCAAAAGTCAAACCCTAACCCCGGTCATGGCCTCTCCTTCATCGTGGTTCCAACCGTAAACTACGACCAAGACTCAACCCATGGCTTCCTCGGTCTAGTTAACAAGATAACCAATGGCAACCCCAATAACCATCTCTTTGCAGTCGAGTTTGGTTTTTCAAGATAAACGTTTTGGCGATATTAATGATAATCATGTTGGTGTTAATGTTAACTCTGTTAACTCGATGGTTTCTGAGAAAGCTGGTTACTGGATTCAGACAAGAACTGGAGGAAAGAAGCAGTTGTTGTTCAAGGAAGTGAAGCTAAGTAGTGGAGACAAGTACAAGGCTTGGATTGAGTATAAAGATAGTAAGGTCAGTGTTACGCTTGCACCTGCGCATTTGAAGAAACCGAAGATGCCACTGATTGAGACACATATTGATCTTTCTGTGGTGGTTCTTGAGACAATGTATACCGGTTTTTCCGGTTCGATGGGCCGTGGCGTCGAGCGTCATGACATATGGAGCTGGAGTTTCGAGAACACAGCCAAAAGCAATTAATCCGATTTGTATTTGGTCTAGTTTGGTTTTGTTTATTTCTTTTGTTTTTCTTTTATGTAATTTTTGTTGCTAGTTTAATAATTATTATATTCAAAAATATATATTATATTCTACATATACACTATGATATATCTAAGATATTTTTCAGTCTAAAATAATACACACAAAATATCCTCAAAGTAACATTAAATAAAAGTTAAAAAACCATTTTTTTTATATTAGATTTGAGTTTATTGATTAGATTTTATGGTTTAGTATTTATACATTGGTTAGGGAAAATATTTAGAATTTGAAGTAATTAAGTATTTTGAGGAATTTTTTCTAATTTTGTGTTATTTTTATCATAATTTTTTTTGTAGTATCTAAGGAATTTGTCTTTTAAAATTCATTTTCAACTTTAGAAAATATGTTTTATAAATAAGTTTAGATTTATAGTAGTTTCTAGACATAATTTTGGGAGAGGGAGAGCATACCAAAAGAGGAAAATTGTTGCTATTATATATAGAATTGTGTATAGAAGTGTATATGATCTTTGTATTTGGATGGTATTTTATTGTAAGCAATAATGAAACCACTAGGTCACTTGACATACAAGTAATCTTTAATCTTATACCAAAGAATACAATCAATCTGTGTTGTATATATATAGCCTTTTTTTAACTGCAAGATTTCTCTCCAAGCTTGATTCCTTGACTCTACGCACACTGATTTTGTCCTGATTTAGCTTCAGAAACTAACCTATCTATTAGCCCCTTGATCCTATCAGCCCCTGCACCAGGTCTGATCCTAGCCACGTCTTCCACAACCGAACACTCCTGTTTCCCACCGCACCACCCACCAGGAGTGAAACCATCTTTGTTAGTCCGCATAAGCAGTTCCTTATCGATCTTATCCAAAGCACTGTCATCTCTACTGAATTTTCGAGCAAAAACAGCACCGCTCGCAATCATTGGTTCCATGTCTCCTAAGGACAACGTGCGAGGATGCTGCCTCGGTGGTTTGTCCCACGCGATGTAGTGAAGGTCATGGTTCACCGCGGTTTTGGAGAACTCAGGCGCGTTACATATGACTGTGTGGAAGTAACCTTCAGGAGAAGAAACAAAGTTTGTGTAATACATGAGTAATGTTCTTGGTAAGTTGTCCCAACCCCAAATGATATACTCCACGAATGAGCGTGAGAGAGCCATCCAAGCTGATCCTGAGTAAAAAAAAGAACCGACAAGAAATTTTAAACTTCATTGCAATAAGAACAAAGTTATTTTCTCAAAAAAAAAAAGAACAAAGTTATTGCTTATGCAGCAAGTAATATGTTTTAACTTTAGGGTTAGAAGAACAGTACTGACCGGTATGTAACTTAAATGCAGTTGGTAAACTTCGACCAGGCCTAACCCAGAGAATATCTGATTTGTTTAGCATGTAGAGTCCAGGATCAATTATTAATGGCATTGCCCGTTTTTCACTTCACCATGAGACACCAAGAAACATTAGTTTCAGCTTATGCAAAATTAAAAAGAATCTGAGAGAGAGAGAGAGAGAGAGCTCACTTTTTCCAACCTAAGTCACTTGTGTGGTCGATAAAGTTAAGGTTGCGGTCCAAAGTTGAAAACGTATACAACATATCTTCAAAACATTGAACATTGTTAGGTGAAATCAGATTAAGAAAACAAATGAAAGAAAAGATTACCATCTTGAGTCACAAGTGGATAATCTGAAGCACTGAGATTAATAAACCAATCCCAATCAGGACTTCTCTTAAGAAGAATGGCGCAAGCATGAAGGGTATTAGCCACCATTGTTGGTCCCATATAGGTCACAAGATTAGCTTTGGATATCATATAGACATTCCCAATCTTAGAATACATAGAATCATTATTGATACGAGAAGCCAACTCTAGTCTCTCGTCAAGGGGTGATTCAAGATCCATGTGGACAATGTATTGGTTTCTTGGATGGTACAAAGCTCTAAGAGTTCTCCAAAGTCTTTCAAGATCTCCTTTAGATCCTGAAACAAGGTAAGCGAAGCGCGGAAGCTTGTCCTCTTCTTCAACTTTGGGATCATTTGTTGGGAAATGTGGGATAGTCTCATTGATTGGTGGTCGAAGTGAAGTTATTAGACCCATGTTGAAGGAAGTTGCGATGAGGACAACGCAAACAAGAGATGTGATCACAAATGAGAATACCCATTTCTTCTCCATGTTTGCATACCCCATTGACGAGGATTTGTGACCATGAGACATAGACTGACACATTAACCTTTTGCTTGAATCAAAGAACCTCTTTAGCAAATTTTCTTCTGCAAATACATTAACTTACCAATTTGGAAACACTCAATCTTGGTTTAGGCCACTAGCATCATATCAAACATATCAAGATTTCATTGTTATGTATTGAAATAAAAAGTTATTTTTTGTCCTCTAAAACTGAGGAACTGAACAAAGATTGAAGGAAGAGAGACCGAAACCTGTTTTCTTGTTCCTTTTATCTGTATTGGTGCAACTTCTATTGACAAAAGAGAAAGAACAGAGGTTTGATACGTTTGGATAAGAACATATATAGACACTTAAAAACACTCTCTTGTGTCGACTAAAAGTTATATAGAGATGATGAAGAGAGAATACATTTTGAAACTCTTCCAATAACAAACTATAAAACTTATTTATCTAACATGTAAAGCAATTCTGCTAATATTGGGGTATTAGCAAAATAAGTCTAAAAAAAATAAATGTAACATATGCTGTAGTCACTGGGTTATGCAATTGTAACAAACGCAAATAGAAATGTGATAACAACATTTCAACCACACTACCAAGAGCATTCCCTTTTTAAAATTGATTTGCTATACTTCAGAAACTTTTCAAATCAGTCATTTGTGGAATTTTATTAATTATGTACAGATTTGAGTTATAAATATATCATTCAATTCTTATAACCGATTTGATTGAACGGTTAACTTATTTGATAAATGAACTAAACAACAGCTTTAAATTGCGAGTATGAATAACTTTTTGTTTTTGTGTTTCTCATTTTCTGGTTGAGTTGCAATAACTGGCTCAGGAAAACAAACAATTGGTAATGAATACGTATGGACCACGTTTATACCTGAAATCAATAATAAACATTTAATATTCTTCTCCTCTATATTTCCAAAATTTTCTTAGACAGAATTTTTTTTTTTTTGGACAAATTTTTCTTAGTACAGATTAGTTTTGATTTATTGAGACTAACTAGAATTAACAGTTGACCCTGAAGAACCTACGAACTGGTCAATGAGAGCAAATGTTCTAAAAATAAATAAAATACTAGTATTTCCTATGAAAATAATAAAATAGCAGCCTTTAGGAGAAAAAATCGTATTTTTATATTTCTAGGAGAAACGGGAAATATAAGTTGAAATAGGAACACAAAAAACAAGAAATCTATGATTAAAAAATATGTTATAAATACAATTTTAATTAATTATATTCTGAAAATAGTAGCCTTTAGGAGAAAAACAATAAATTAAATAATTTTCCACAGATATTACACAACTAATAAAATATTTTCTGTGAAAATATTTTAATAACAGGCTTTAGGAGAAAACATATTTTTTATATTTCTCACAGAAACAAGAAATATAAATTGAAGTGGGAAGCAAAAAAACAAGAAATCTATGATTAAAAATATGTTATAAATACAATTAATTAATTATATTCTACAATATATGAAAATAGCAGCCTTTAGAAGAAAAAAATGAATTAAATAATTTTCCACAGATATTTAATAATGAAATATTAATTTTAATAATTTTCTCAGATATTAGAAAAAAAATAAACGTAATCTTTTTTTTTTGTTTGGATATTTAAGAAGAAACAAAGAAACATAAAAACTGAAATGTGAACGCAGAAAAACATCAAAAGCTTTAATCAATCTTCTACCTCAGTTTTCTTCTTTATGGGATCAACAAAAAGTCTGCCCTCTCTCTCTCTCTCTCTCTCTGTACTTCCCAAAGATCTCTGCTCCCTAAAGCTTAAACCTTTACATCTTTTTCTCTTCAGTTAAAACCCTTCAAGACTCTGTTCGAACACTCTGTTTTTTCTCATAAAAGGTCTGACCTTTACCGTCTTTTTGGCGGTTTCGTGGCACAAGAACAAATGGGTTCCCCTGTTTCACTCTGCGACGGCGGCTTAGATGCGCCACGGCTTGTAATCGCGAAGTCAAACGGAGATCTGTCGTCGAGAGAGACCACGGAGGAAGAGGACTTCGCTGTGTTCTCAGGCGAGGAAGAGGAGTGGTGTGGAGAGAATCGTTTCTGTTTTTACTTTGTTAAGCAATTTGCTTACGATGACCCTGAGATTAAGGCTAAGATTGATGAAGCTGATAATGAGATTTATAATTGTAATAGTGAGAGGATTCACATTTCTAACAGATTAAAAGCTATAAGGGTAAATCTTCTTCCTTTGACTCTTTTGTTGACTTTTAATAATTTTTTTTTTTTAAATCAGAAGTGTGTTATCTTGGTGTAGGCTGAGAGGTTGTCTATGGAGAATGTAATGAAGGATCAAGAAGTTAACAGTTTGAGTGAGAGGTTAAATGAGATTAAGATGGAGATGGAGTTGTTGGAAGCTCAAATGGGTTGTGTACTTGATCAAAGAGACAGAGCCTTTGAAAGGATTAAGTTTTTGAGGATACAAAGAGACAAAGGGGTTTGGTTTTCTTTTTTTTTCATGTCAAGTCTTGTTCTTTTTTTTATTGAACTGGTGTGTTTTTTTTAATCTGGTGTGTTCTGTTTTTTTTTTTTTTTGGGTAGAATGCTGCCTTTTTTCAGAGCCGTGTTGTCATGAAGAAGGCTGTAGAGTTAGCTGCTTCTGGAAATGTTAGAGATCTTGAAGAGCTAGCGAACTCCGAGGTTTGTTTTTGTCAGAGCCTATTGAGTTTTTGTATGTCTCTGAGATTTGAGCATCTGTTCTTATTCTGTCTTGTCTGTTCAATAGGTTGATAAATTTATGTCTCGTTGGAACAATGACAAAGGTTTTAGAGATGATTACAAGAAAAGAATCTTGCCTTCACTTGAGGAGCGAAAGCTAAGGCGAGATGAACGGGTTAGGAGCTCAGAAGGGAGTGTAGATACTGAGAATAGAGATGAAACAGCAATAGAACTCAAGAGGTTTAGTACTGAGGAGGAGGAGGAGAGTGACGAGAAGCTTGAAAAGGAGGAAGAGGAGATTGTTGATAAAGAGACCTTGAAGGAAAAGAAACGAGAAGAGCAGTTAGAGAAAGCTCGGCTAGCAATGGAAAGGAAGAGGAAGCTACATGAGAAAGCTGCTGCTAAAGCTGCCATTAGAGTTAAGAAGGAAGCTGAGAAGAAACTCAAGGAGCTTGAGAAGAGAGCAAAGAAGAAGAAGAAGGCTTCTTCTAACTCTTCTACACCATCAGATCTAGAGAAAACACCAGAGACAGTCACTGAGGGATCAGAGCCAGAGAAGACAGGGAAGGAGAAACCGCTAAATGGGAGATCGGTGAGTTGGAAACAGAGAAGTTTTTTAAGGTACAGACATCACAAGAAAGGAAATGAGACTGTTCCTAAAGCCATATTAAAGCGTAGAAGAGCTTACAGGTTATGGGTTTGGAGTGTTTCCTCTGCTGCAGTTGCACTCCCTCTCGCTCTCCTCATAGTCTTCTTTTACCTTCGATAAGTTAGATTAGAAGCAGATGGGATTTGGCAATAACGCTGTCTTGTTTTGGTGTCATAAAATTTCAGAGTAGTCAAGATATTTGCCTTCATCGAGAGTTAAGAGGTCTCTCCATGGATGCAAATGTCTTGACCATCTTGAAGTTCATGATTCTAAACACAAGACACTTCATAGTTTATATTTTTGTTGACTTTAGGAAAACCAAGAAGCACTCTCTTAGTGGTGACTTATATTGTATATACATGGAAGAGATATCATGAAGAATCTTTTACATAAACAGAACTTGTGTATTGACACCACTTATTACAGCAGCAAAGGTCTCTTGTCTCGTAATGAGATTGAAAAATGTGAAATAGTAGTAGCTGATTTGTTGTGTTATTCATTACATGCTTTTGATTGTCATCAAACATCCCAAAGAAGCAAACCTTCCCAAGTCAGTTCGAGTTTTTGATGTTGAGAAACCTTGTAGCTGACGTAGAGGCTTCTCTCTCATTCGGCCTTTGTCTACCTAGAAAGTCTCTATTTCTTGGACAGTGTTCAATTTCATTCTCTCAACTCTTGTGAGATTGTAGGCAAGACGTGCAGCATCAAGATGAGAACTTCTTCATACAGATTTTCTCACACGGTCACACCACCTGTTGTTAAAAAATCAGTTTTACTAATGAGAAAATTTGCTCATGTTACATTAATTGGTTGGGCAGGTTACCCTAATATCAGTTTTCATCTTTTTGTAGTAAAATTTTCCCTCTGAAAACGTTAACTTAAAGCAATAAATTTTACTGTAGAAACGTCTTTTGTCTTAAGATCTAGGTTGGGCATCCCTGACGTCTTAACCAGTGAGAGGGATCCATGTCTATATAGTTGCAGCTTTGAGGTACAGCAACTTCATGAGTTCTTTAGGTTTGTTCTTTGTTTGAATCTTGAGTATGTTTCTGTTGGTTTATTTTGAAGTATCACCGGGAATTTTGGGTTTCAAGCTTGTAAGGTAAGGTTGTTTGAAAGTGAGTTTAGTAAGTGATCTTGTTCTAAAAATGTTAAATTCAGAATTATCATGAATTCTCAACTTAAAATCAAATTGAATGTAAGTAGCTTAACCCAAGTTATTTTATATATTAGTTAATAATTTCTCCAACTGCCAATGTGAGACTTTTATTCATTAACAAAAAAACATTTGTTTGTATGGATCACTGATTAGAGAGATCAATGAAACGAAGACAGAAAAGTTTTAGTTGAAAACATCAGATATCTCTAGAGAGAAGTTGTAACAAGTAGGCTTTGACATTTGGGATCCCAATCGGGTTTCGGTTTTGTTCAATCGGGTTTCAGTCTTTTGGACTTATCAAAATCAACCTCATTTGGATTATTCGGTTCGGGATCGGGTTCTATCGGGTTCGGGTCGGGGTTAGTAAATCTTCAAAGAACCGGTATAACCTATTGTACTTTCAGATTCGGGTCTCAATCGGTTTTTCGGTTTAAAATACCTGATTTGTATCTACTTTGTAACCAAAACATAAGTAAAATCGGTTCTTCGGATTTAGAGTACATGAATTGTACCTCTTTTTAACCAAAACATTAAGTAAAATTGATTCAAAAATAAGAAAAGAACATTAAACGTGACCATTCAAAATCAAACGAAAGGTAAATTTAGTTATCAATTGAAGAAAACCAAATAAACAAAATTATAAAACGAAAACCAAATTATTAATAAATGAGAAACATCATTCAATAAAAACAAAACTAAAATCTAAAAACTTCAAGTTTCAGTAGTCATCTTCAACCATCAACTGTCATGTAACAAATAATTATTTTAGATATTCAATAATTTCTTAAAGTATTTTGGATATATATTAGAAATTGATATCATGTTTGGTAGAAGTTTTTTGGCGATTTTGAATGTTACGGGTTCTATCGTATATCTATTTAATTTCGGTTTCGTTTCGGATAATACTCATAATCCAAAATACCATAAAACAAGATACATTCGATATGTATATCGGGTTTGAATTGGTTCAGATCCATTTTTATCGGATCGGATTTTGTTCAGATTTTTGGGTTCAGATTATTTGCCCATCCCTAGTAACAAGTCAAGGATCAAGTATAACATTTTATTGATTTAATATTTTTATTTAATAATTATGTTTATGTTACATATGTATACTCACCCACAAAATCATTACATGCGTATGCATGAAGACTTTGTATACTTATAAAATCCTTACCATATTGCTATAACGGTCTCTTCCACAAAACAAAACAATATAAAAGCTCAAAAATACAATAATAAATTATAACACTCACTTTCCAATATTTTATAAAATCAAGCATACCCACAGTATCCATACTCACACTTAACCCCTGACTTGCACTTCCTCGTGCATTTCCCACAATGGTTAGGGTTAAAGTTAACGTACGTGCAAACACCACCGCAGCAACGCTGCCCAAAACCACACTTGTGACCGCATCTGCCGCAGTTATTCTTGTCGCCAAGAATATTTCGACAATGTTTCTTGCAACAATGCAATAGGCTCGTGCCATTGTTGGCTTTTACACCATTGCAAATGTTGTAACTCTCCACTTGACATCTCATTCCCTTCTTGATCTTCTTGTACTTTGAAAATAGTAGTCTAGTTTTGGATGAAACTGTCACATTTGAGAGTATCGTGGGAGTTTCATCAAGAATGTAAAACTCTGGATCTTCTTCGTCGATAACTTCATCAGCTAATACTGAATGAGGATTAGATGATGTTGTTATTAGGAAGTATAGGACTAAGGAGAGAAGTGAGGTGGTTTTAATGAAGGTGTTAGGGATCTTAATGACCATTTTGTGTTTTAGGTAAGAGATTAGCCAAAGAGAGTTTGGCTTTGGAGCAGAGAAGAAGCAAGGAAAGGAAGAGTGGGAGTTAAGAGAAGATCTGTATTCTTGCAAATGAAGGGGTATTTTAAGGCAGCAAACACATTATTTATTGTAAATTCTGATTTTCATTTATTTAAAAGAAATTGAAAATTTTCAAGGCCATTGCTTAAAATGAATTTATTATTCCTTAAATCTAGGCTGCCACAAGTGATCGTTGTCTAGATGAACTCATACACGTTCAGATCTCATTGGTGAAAATTGTTTGTAAAACAGTATAATTAGTTTCTGAAGATTTTTGGAAGAGCCATAATATCAAAAAGGTTAAAATAGCAATTCGAACGTTTAAACATTAACTTTAGTTTACATGTTAAATCTTCAATTTTTGGGATTACTAAGAGGTTTTGAACTTTTGAAACAAAATTCGTAATCATTCAAATTTAAAATTAATTTTGTTTCTATAAAAATTTTTCATTGTTGTATACAACACTTGGTATCTATAGTCAGTTAAGCTAATCTTCAACCTTTTTTTGACATCAGCTAATCTTCATCATTAATTTCGTTTTATCAATTATGTTCATTACTTTACTAACTATTTTCACTTTATCCCACTATTCATTTTTTATCACTATGTTGATTGATATTTTCAGAAAATTTTACCGACAAGACAAATAGCTCATGTTCCTTATTTGCGTCGTTACTTCGAATACAAACGATTTGATTATGTTTAACTCTCATGTATATTCTTAAATGTCGCACATGATTCACTTTTGATCAAAACTCAAAAGGCAGCTTTTGTTCTATTGTGCATTATAAAACCGTATAATATACGTTAATATTTGCAAATTCGATCTCGACTATTAACTAGATACGGGACTCCCTATAAGAAAACGATTAAATAAAGGAAGTCAAACGAATTAAGATGTAAAAAATCATGAATGGACAAAAAAGAATCATGATTGAACAAATGGGAGAACAACACACATGCATGACTGATTAAAAAAAAAACAGCACAAGTGCTCTTCAACTGCATGTGCATGAGTTGTCTCTTAAACCTATGTTTTAATTCAAACGTAGCACGTGTGTGTGATGACGGTGGAACAACTAAGATCCTTCTTATTTGGCACTAATGACGGTAAGAGTCACATACGGGTTACGCTTACTGCGCAACCTAACCTGGCGACTGTAATGTGCAATGTCTCTACGTGTCACCCTCAACGTTTGTGACAGTCATATCGCCACCGTCTAAGTTGATTACTTTACTCGGTCCATATAAGCTAGCTCCATGAACCGTTGACCACTAAGCTTCTCTCAAATATGAACAGAAATACTGGTCATGACTGTTCACGAATTGTATATTCTGGCCATTGATTGATTTGATTCCTAACAATGTGCCGTGAACATGACATGCAAAAAGCTAGCTTATAAAGCATATGCGTATGGACACCAATATAAAATATGCATTAACAAAAAAAAGAAACCCATTAACACAGCTTATGTGAAATAACTTTTTTACACTAATCGCATTGATTAATATATTCGTAGTATTAATCGAAGTCAGGGATGAAGTATTCTATAAATGTGCAATTCCACAGTCCCCTATATATTAATTGAAAAACATTATAAGATTTGAGTTTTCTTAGAAACAAACAATAGATTGCAAACTATTGGACATAACGTTTAATCAGACAATAGGTTGCAAACTATTGGACATAACAATAGGTTTGGATAGACTACCTATTTTTGCAAATAATAAATTTCTTAGAAACAAACGATAGGTTGCAAACTCTTGGACATAACGATAGGTTAATTTTTTTTTGTAATAGTAGTAGCTTTCCTTAGAAAGAAAAAGGATGATGTTGTACATAAAAGTCAAAGAACTTCTAAATCTACCATCTATTATAGCAAACTTTCCTATTAACTGAAAAAGAATATTGGACATAACATTTAGTCAGACCTAATTGAAAAGAGAATATCAGAGCACCTATTCCACATGCCCACATCTGAACTTCTAATTTCAAGAATTTGACATCAAGCATAGAAAATCAAGAAGGATCAATTGCACAATCTAACAAATTACATACAGTGATTCAATGGATTTACAAGCTTCATCATCTGTGTACGATAGGAGACCAAGTGATATATACCAGTAACATTTTTTTTGGTAACACAATACACTAGTAACAGAGTTTAAGTGATATACAGTAGTAACATTCAAGATTCAAGAAAACTATTTTCAAAGTCTGCAGGATTTTAGCTTACGTTATCTACAAGAGAATATTCAAGATACATCCATTTCATGAAATGAGTGACCTTATGATACGTGCGAGCACCAAACAATAAATAATACATTTTTCTGTTCATTATTTATTAGTAACCCAGTAAATACAATTAATGTTCCAATACCAGAAAATAAAATCGACCTTTCCATGAACTGCTATATATTAGCAATCAGCTTCTCGAATCCTAAAGATATTAAATCACGGATAGTTTATATTTTTGTAATGATATGAAAATATTTCTTCTTTAAGGAACACTTCTGATGCTTAAATTGTCTAGTTTATTTTCTTTCAAGTATGTATCAATTAATGTTGTCAAAGATAGTTAAGCAATAAGTTTCTACAATCTCACGGATACTAAACCAGTGAGAGAAAATGTTGGCAAGACTAGTTAGAGACCAAGACATATACACAAGTTTAACAACAGCTAAATTATCATCAATCACTAGTATAAAATGCAAAGTTGTGAAGGTTGTCATTTCACATGTTTACATTGATTAAAGAGGGTTAGGAGCATAACACAAAACAGAAACATTAAAGATTAATAAAGGAAACATTACAATCTCAATCTATAGGAGTTTATTACCTACATTGATCTAGCTACTAGAGACTCCAAAATACCCCCGTATCTAGTGAAGGGATGAGACATAATATTACATTCAAGCACCGAACTAATTCTAAAATAATAAATATCCTTCTAATCAACATAAGTATTAATAACACTGGTTAATTATAACTATGACTGAAGGTCATCAGGAGCACAACGCAAACCATAAACATTCAACACTCAAGGAAACTACTACCACAATGTTCACGAATAATCTACAAAAGACTCTAAAATATATCCATTTCATAAAAGAGACACTCTTTAATACATACAAGCAAACTAAAGAGATTTTTTTTTTCTTTTTAACTAAAGAGATTTCTAACACAGATATATGACTGAGTCCACTTTGTTTTGAAATGGCATGGTAAAACTTTGTATTTCTATCCCTATTCCGTTGCCAAAGAATCTTTTTTTTTTCTTATTAGGCAAATATATGACAAATCGGTTGGTCTTGCCTGTTCCACGATTCTGCACACGATTTAACTTCGTCCCAGCCCAATAAAATGTAGGTCCAACATTTTACGAGGCCCAATATTTACTGTGTCTACACAACTGGTTATATATTTCGAGTGGAACAAAATTTAGGTTCATCCCTTGGGGGTGAATTTTATAATTCATCTCACTTCTTGTGACCAATCATTGTGCCATATAGGATAAAAAAATATTAAATTTTAAAAAGGAAAATAGCGTGAAAAAGAAAAAAAGAAACTAACGTTTTGCTAAGCCGTCTATCATGGCTTCTTCTTCATCGCACAGAGAAAATATGAGTACCATGGTTTGTCAAGTTTTGAGTCTCTAAATCTAATTCTATGCTTTCAAATCCAATTTCGATATTAACCTTTTCCAAGCTAAATAAAACCATGTTATCTATGGATTTTCTTCTTCTTCCTGTCAAACAACTTAGGAAGAAGAAGATGGAAAAAGAGACCATCGAGTTAAAAGATAAGTTTTTGTTGGAATTAAACCTTTGATTACATCTAAAAATGAACGTGATCTAAGAAAACGTGTCCAAGAAGAAGAACAAAGAAGAGTAGCAGAGAACAAGCTTAAAAAAGGAAGAAGAAGAAGGGACTTGAGCCGCAAGAAACAAGTTAGTGTTGATCTGTCTCCTTTTGACCCAGTTTTGATGATTTCTCATTAGTCGATTAGTGAAAGTTCTTAGTTCTTGATATGATCAGTGATGCTTTCTGAATGCCACGAGATTGTTATATTCCTATTAGAAATCTAGAAAAGAATTGATTCAAGGGTTTGTGTTGTTGAGTGACAAAGTTATCTACTTTATAGGTTCCAGAGATTACCACCTGAAAGAAAGCTCTAGGATATTGATACTGGCAGCGGAATCAAACAGCTGTTGCGTGTCTTGTTCTTTGCTGATCAAGTTCTGTTCTTTGTTCTTTTACTTTCTTCTTGTTTAATGTATACTTGGTTTTAGTTTCTAATGTGGAAGGGAAGAAAATGGTGTTTGGATGTGAGCTCGCTAACAGTACTTGTAATGCGGAAATGCGGTGTTGAAAGGTCTTCAACTGTTAATTCAGTTATAGGCGAGAAAGCTGCTGCAGTCAGTACTTTCCAGGTACCAAGTTTAATCCTCTTCTCATCTCTTTCCCCATGACTGTTTTTATATCTGTCTACTTATGTAAAATGTGTTGGTTTTTCTTATTTATAGTCTGAAGGAGTGAGACCGTCCTAGGTCTCTCGCTCAAGGTCGGGTTTTACATTAAACATCATCGACACTCCTGGTCTTATTGAAGGAGGATATGTTAATGATCAAGCCATCAACTTTATAAAAGGGTTACTTATTTCTCTTGTTCACTCACTCACTCTCTGTTTTTGTTCTCACACTCACTCTGTTTTGTCATGTTACACAAGCACACACACTCTCTTTACTTTTTCCTTGATTTGTTATCTTGTTCTTGTAAAGAGAGAGAGTAATCTTTCTATGTCTACATTGTTACTTTCTCCAATTATTTTCTTATCAGAATTTGATACTTTTCTTACAACACAATACTAACTTTTCCTTCTTATTCTTCATACTTCTTCTTCACTATTCTGTTTCTTGCGGCTCAAGTCTCTTCTTCTTCTACTTCCTTTTTTATAGGTTGATCCCTCCTACTCTTCGTTCTTCTTCTTGGGCACGTTTTCTTAGGTCACGTTCGTTTGTAGAATTAAAGGTTTAATTCCAACAAAAACTTATCTCTTAACTCGATGGTCTCTTTTTTCCATCTTCTTCTCCCTAAGTTGTTTGACACTCTTTCCAAAATTGTTAGCGATGATGTTCAAGTAGCAGAAAGAAGAAGAAAATCCATGAATGAACATGGTTTGATTTAGCTTTGAAAAAGATAATATAGAAATTGGATTTGAAAGCATAGAATAAGATTCAGAGACTAAAAACTTGACAAATCCTTGTGCTCATATTTTCTCTGTGCGATGAAGAAGAAGCCATCGATAGACGGCATTGCAAAATGTTAGTTCCTTTTTTTTTCTTTTCTCAAGCTATTTTCCTTTTTGTTTAAATTCAATATTTCTTTTTTTCTTGATCCTACATGATGATTGGTCACAAGAAGTGAGGTGAATTATAAAATTCACCATGGGGGTGAACCTAAGTTTTGTTCTTTCGAGTCAGACGGTTACATAACAAGCTGCCTTATATATATAATAAACTTCCATCTCGCTCTCTGTTTTTCGATTTTACAGAGCAAACCAGATTTATTGTTGCTGAGACAAGAATGTGGGTTTATGTCATCTGATTCCTCTTTAAGCAAGTGTTGTGTGTGATGAATACTCTCAGTGGTTCAGAGGGTTTGACTCAAGATGAATATACAAGACATGTGAGAGTCACGTGTGGACAATGTTCACGAGTCTCACCAATGTTAATCTACAAGAGACTCTAAAGTATATCCATTTCATAAAAGGGACACTCTTTAATATATACAAGCAAAGTAAAGAGATTTCTAAGACAAATATATGACTGAGTCTACTTTCTTTTAAAATAGCATAGTTGCATTTTGTATTTCTATCCCTTTTCCGGTGCCAAAGAATCATTTTTTTTAAGGCAGAAGAGATCTTTATCTCTAAACGGTAATAGATATTAGATATAGACTTATAGTATGACAATCGGACGGTCTTGCTTACTCCACGATTCTGCACACGATTGAATTTCATCCCAGCCCAATAAAATGTAGGCCCAACATTTTATATCAGGCCCAAAATTCCACGTGTATATTTTGAGTGAAACGGTTACTTAACAAATTGGCTATATATATATAACAAACTCCCATCTCGCTCTCTGTTTCCCCTGTTTTCGAGTTTACAGAGCAAACCAGATTTGATTATTGAGAGAAGAAGAAGATGGGGAGAGGAAAGATTGAGATAAAGAAGATCGAAGATGTGCACCGTCTTCAAGCCTGTTTCACCAACAGATGTAAAGGGATGATGAAGAAGGCGAACGAGCTTGCCGTTCTCTGCGACGTTGACGTCGCTCTCATCGCCTTCTCCAGAACTGGCGAGCTTTACGATTTCTTTAGCGGCAGGTAATCTAAAAGATTGATTCTTTTCGTTTCGAGATATGTGTAAAAAATATCAACTTTCTTGGTTCCTTGTGTCCCAAGAAAACAGAGCAAGTTGTTAAATCTTAGGGTTTTATGTTTCTGTGAAGATCTAAGATTAGTAGTAGATTAATTAACGGAGTTTTTTTTATTTCAAAAGTGTGGAGCAAATCCTCTCTAGATATGGGTACAGAGCTGATCATAGGCAAAGAGATACTTCTCAAGGAAATGGTGATGTGGTATGTTCTGTATCTTATCTATAAGAAGTAGTGATAAAATTTTTGTGTATCCCTTTCCTTTACATTGACTCTTTCGTTGTTTCAGTTGCTGGAAGATGAATCTGTGACTAGTGAACTTAAGAGATTACAGCTTGCAATTGAGTATGTCTCTCTCCCTGGACCTAAACTAGTGTTTGTTCTTGTGTTAAAGTTTTGGCGTTTCATTTTTTTCTGTTTAGGAGACTGAAGGGTAAGAAGCTTGAGGGTATGAGTTTCTCGGATCTTTCTTCTCTTGAAAGCCAGTTGAATGCTAGCTTGCTTAGTATCAAAGATCAAAAGGTGAAGACGACACAAAGAACCATTTTTTATTCAAAAGATTTGAAAGATGATTCTCTGACTTGCAAAGTTTTCAGACAATCTTGCTCAACGAGGTAGAAAGATCTCGGTTACAGGTAATAAACAAGGCTCCTCCTAGAACATTGAATCATCATCATCATCATCAAGATCTGTGTTTCATTTGCTTATGCTTTACCAGGAGAAAAGAACATTGGAAGAGAACCAACGTTTGCGCAAACAGGTTAAAAAGTTTTTGTTTACATCGTCTTACTGATTCAGTCTGGTCTTCAGCATATCTCTTACTGATTCAAAGCTAATTTTATCACTCACAGATAGAGTCAATGTTGGGGAGAGATTCATCAGGACCAAAAGTCTCTAGCCTACTACAAGCAGAGCCCGAGAGCTCTTCATCAGATGATAACGAGAATGACAACGAGGAGCACCATTTCGACACTTCCTTGCGGCTGGGGTAAGACGTAGAACAAAAGACCTACCTTGTGTTCCAAGCTCTTTTCTCTTCTATTGACTTATACTTGTCTTTTTTTTTTGCAGCTGGGGAAAGAAATAGAAGCTGAAGATCAAACGCCCCTGCGATAACTCTGGAAGTCAAGTGTCTTCTGATTGATGGATATCAATCATTCTCCTAACTTTTGGTGATTAGTATTAGAGCCGTTTTATTTTGCATTCTTCTTTGTTTAGTATAAAGTTTGTTTTTAGGTTATCAACATTAGTTTCTCTTGTTGAAGTTTCAAACAGAGCAGAAACACAACATATATCAGACATCAAAGATGAGAATGGATCATTACAAGAACAATTTCAAAGAGGGTGTTATGACATGAGAGCACAAAACATATAACACATTACAAGATTCAAGGAAAATACGACCGCAAGTTTAAAGAGTCTCTCACCTACGTTAGTTTACAATTACAAGAGACTCCAATATACAATTCATGAAATATAAGCGACATTATAATACACACAAGCACCCATCTAACTAAAAATTAATAAATATTTTTCTAAGCAATATAAAGACTACTAACAGCATTGGATGAGCAGAAAATACATAAACATTCAACATTCAAGGAAACTACTATCACAATTTTCATGAGTCTCACTTATGTTTAAAATGATCCATTTCATAAATGAGAGACCTTATGATACGTGCAAGTACCAAACAACACTGTTTAAAATGATCGCTGAGGGTAAGAGCATATCACAAATCAGAAACATTCATCAAAATTAGAAAACCTACTACAACAAACATAATCTGATTTTCATAAAATAAGAAGCTTCATAATACATACAATCATCAAACTACAGAAATTCTAACAATGTTTATAATGAGCAAGGAGGGTTAGAGCACATGACACAAAACAGAAGCATTAAAAGTTCAAAGAAACTACTACCACAATCTGCAGGAGTCTCTCACCTTCATTGATCTACAAGAGACTCCAAGATACATCCATTTCATGTAAAAAGACCTTATAATACATTCAAGCACCAAACTAAAGATAATAGAGATTACAAAACACTGTAAACGCACAATATACTGTTCCAGTAGTAAAAAGATCCTACCTGTTCATCAACGGATATGTTAGTAATCAGTTTCTAGAACCGCAAGGATGCTATATCAATGAGAGAAATGTTGTCAAGACAGCTTAATACAACACCTTTAGTTATAAACGGAGCTAAGATCTCCATTTCCTAGCTATTTCATTACCTTATATATATATCACTTTACTTAGTTTATAAATTATAATAATGTAATAATACCAATTTATAAGAGAGAAAGTAAAGAAAATAATATATCTGAAAATCCTTCGCATTAGTGACGATATGAAGCACATACCTACACAATTGAAACTATAGCCTCTATTAACTAAATTGGATTCAAAAGCACATACCTGTCAAAGAAATCTGCTACACTTGAAATCTTTTCCTGACTCTTATGAAGCACAACCAACACCTGAGAAAATCAAAATTAATTAGCGTTCAGTTCACGCAAAATGACTCATATTCAGTCTATTTTCATAAGACATTCTTTATGAGACTGATCGTCTTTTTCTCTTTCCAACAAGTCCAAATCCTACCCCATAATAAGGGCTTTTCAAGATGTTTCTCACTTTAAACAGCGAATTTTTCTAACCCGTAAGTAGTGAAGTGAGGATTCAATTTTTCGTTTCATAGTGTCGGACTTAAGACCTGATTTAAGCTGTTGGTCGTTTTTATCATCTAAGAAGGCAAGAACCGACTAAATTTTTGGTTCGTAGTTTATGTCTTAGGACTTGGTTTGCCATTGGTCATTTTTACCATCCAACACGCCAAACTCCGACTCAATTTTTGGTTCATAGTGTTTATCTTCAAAACTTGGAGTTGTTGGTCGTTTTTTACCATCCAACAAACCAAGAATCGACTTGGTTCATAGTCTTTGTCCTAAAGACTTGTCTAAACCGTTGGTTATATAGTCTTTGCAGTTAAGACTTTTGTTGAGACTTTCCGTTATTACATGAAAGATTTTATATTATTAACCTTTGTTTGTTTTATCTATCCATCCATCCGTTTCATAGTGATGAATTTATGTAAACTACTCCATCCAACACTCAGTCTTTCTCCAAAACGTTGTTGTAAACAGACCAATCGTTTGACTAGATTACATTTCGTAACTGCGTGGTCGGTTTATATGTTCAACAATTCATAGTCTTTTCCTAAAAGACCTTTTTGGTAAGCCGTAAGTACTAAAATAATGTCTGTCTAGAGACTTCTATATGTCGTGAGTTGCAGAAGTAATGAATCCAAACCTTTATATAAACTGTGGGTTATTGTAAAAGTAAGGAATCTTTTTCACGTCGGTCTCTGACACTTGAACGTATGTTTTAGCAGCTGGCCAACCAATTCATAGCCACCTCGATGCTTTTTGTACTGGTAAAGAAATGAACCTTGTTTAATAAACAGTCTTTGTTAAAGATTTTTCATGAAGCCGTGGGTAAGTGTTTGTCTAAAGACTCTTCATAAACCAGTAGGTAAGCAATGAAATGCTTTTCAATTGACAGTCTTTGTCTAAAGACTTTTCCTAAGCCGTGGGTAGTTATTTGCACTCAACAACTTCGAAACCAATTCTGAGTTTTATCATAATGACTTTTTCAAGCGCTTGATCGCTTTCTCCTTATAAGGATTTCATAGCCTTTGTCTAAAGACATTTTCATAGCCTCAAAGACCTTTTGTAAACCCTTGATCTATTTTCTCTTCCGACAGTATCAGTCTTTCTCTGAAGACTTGTAAGACATTGGTCGTTTTTATTCATAACTTATCGGTCGGTTTTGTAAAGCCATGGGTAGTAAAACATGTCTTACTATCCATCCCCAAACATCGCATGCACTACCAACCAACGGAACAATGTTCCCAAATAAGACCAATTCAGTCATTGTCTTATGACTTTACCTTTTTTTTAAGTCCCTTGATCGTTTTTTTTTTCCATTCCAGCAATATCATAGCCTTTAATTTGTCTAAAGACATGTTGTTCATTGTTGTTCATTCTATCCACATCCAACATATCTGTAATCACTTTAAGCCGTGTGTCAGTGAGATAATAAATCTATTATCCCAGTTGCCTAAAGAGCTTTTGCTTGTCTAAAGACTCCATTTTAAAGATATTTCCCAAGCCGTAGGTATCAATTTGTCTAAAGAGTTTTCATAAGCTCTGTGTACTAAATCAGTGAATCTGTTTTGATTAACAGTCTTTGTTAAAGACTTTTCATGAAGCCGTGGGTATAAGTGAATCTGTTTTGATTAACAGTCTAAATCAGTGAATCTGTTTTGATTAACAGTCTTTGTTAAAGACTTTTCATGAAGCCGTGGGTATAAGTGTTTGTCTAAAGGCTCTCTTTTTTTTTGGAACACATAAAGGCTCTTCATAAACCTGTAGATAAGCAATGAAATGCTTTTCAATTTACAGTCTTTGTCTAAAGACTATTCATAATCCGTGGGTATCAATATTTTGTAATGTATCTTCCTAAGCCGTGGGTACTGATGTAAGACTTTTTTTAAGCGCTTGGTTTCATAGCCTTTGTCCAAAGACATTTTCTAAGATGTTGGTCGTTTTATCCATCCAACAGATTAATTGACTCAAAGATCGCTTTTCCTTCTTCCAACTATCTCAGTCTTTGTCTGAAGACGTTTTGTAAACCGTTGGTCACTTTATCCTTTCAACAGGTTCACAGCCTTTGTGTTAAAGGTCGTTTTATCCATCCAACATACTGTAAGCCATTGATATTTTATGATCCATCCAACAAAGCCATATTATTTGTCTGTCTGTATAAAGACTTTTGTAATTAAGTTGTTGGTCGGTTTTATCCATCCAACAAAATTCAGTATTTTTCTGTAAGCCGTGGGTACTAAAATCTTTCTTACTTTCCATCGTTTAGTTTAGACATTCAGTACCAACCGGAGGGACATTGTCCCCAAATAAGATCAATTCAGTCATTCTCTTATGTCCTTTTCTAAGCCGTGGGTATCATATGCTCAACGACTTTTTTTGTTTTAAAGCTCTTTTTCGTTCCAACAATTTCAGATCCTTTGTCTAAAGACATGTTCAATGTTGGTCGTTTTATCCACCCAACATATCTGTAACCTTTGCTTAAAGACTTTGTTGTAATATGTTGGTCGTTTAATCCATCCCACAAATTTACAGTCTTTGCCTTATTTTTTAAGCCGTTGATCATTTTCGTAATAAGCCCAAACATCGCATGCACTACCAACCGACGGGACAATGACAAAACGTCACCAATAAGACCAATTCAGTCATTGTCTTATGATTTTTTCTAAGCCGTGGGTACTCATTACCTCAAAGACCTTTTCTGAGCTCTTAATCATTTTTTTTTCCTTCCAACAATCTGTAAAGACTTTATTGTAAACTGTTGGTCGTTAAACCATCCAACAAACTTACAATCTTTGTCTTAATGACTTTTTTCAAGCCGTTGGTCATTTTTGTATAAAGCCGTGGGTACTAAAGTTCTCCAAAGACATGCACACTACCAACCAACGGGACAATGTCCCTAAATAAGACCAACTCAGTCATTGTCTTATGATTTTTTTCCTTCCAACAATCATAAAGCCTTTGTCTAAAGACATATTTTTCACTGTTGATCGTTTTATCCATCCAACATATCTGTAACTTTTTGCTTAAAGACTTTATTGTAAACTGTTGGTCGTTAAACCATCCAACAAATTTACAGTCTTTGTCTTTTTTTTTAAAGCCGTTGGTACTAACGTTGGCACTGCAAACCAACGGGGAGATGTTCCCAAATATGACCAATCAGTCATGGTCTTGTGATATTTTCCTTCCAACAATCTTATAGCCTTTGTCTAAAGACATGTTGTTCATTGTTGGTCGTTTTATGCATCCAACATATCTGTAACCTTTTCTTAAAGACTTTATTGTAAATTGTTGTCGTTTAATCAATCCAACAAATTTACAGTCTTTGCCTTATTTTTTAAACCATTGGTCATTTCCGTAATAAGCCGTGGGTACTACTTAGAGTTCCATCCCCAAACATCGCATGCACTACCAAC